CAATAGTCAACAGAGACAAAAAAACGAGTCGAGTCAAGCCAGACCCATTTCCGAGCCAAGTTTCACTCGAGAAGCTCAACTTTTTCGAAAATTTTCAGTAATTTTTTCACTTGTTTCTTGGCATTAGATGCCATTATTGTTTCGTGAATTCTTATAATACAATATTAACTCATTGAATTGCACCAGTCGAACAAAACAAAAGCATAAACAGATCGTCATGGGCAGAGGCATTAAGAGTTGTGGGTGTGGATGTGGGTGGGTGTTTTCGTCCACAATGGTCTTTTTTCGGACCTACACCCATCCACACACCCACACTCACACCCTCACACACCCACACATCCACACCCACACCCACACATCCACACCCCACACCCACACCCACACATCCACACCCCACACCCACACCCACACATCCACACCCCACACCCACACCCTCAAATCTTGATCTGTCAACAGTCAATAATTTGATGCTCTTGCGTCGCATTCAGAACAACAAGCGATTAATCCAGTTTATAGTTTTTTTTATGAAACACAATCTGAAAGGAGTGTTGAAGTGTTTAGGGTAGAAATTTTGGACCCACTTCCCCCGCCCCCCCCCCCCCCCCCCTCCCCACAGACCGTGACAGAGAATCCCCGTATCTATCACAGACCGTGGCAGAGAAACTGTAGTTGTAAAGCATCAGATACACGGTCAACTACAAATGTGTTGTAAGGAAATGGAACAAAAGGATTTCCGTTTAATTAGTAACAATAGGTCCATCGTGTTTCACATTTTTAATCCCACAAGGGATTGCGCTAACAGCTTTTTCTCTTGACTCATTCTTGCGAAGTTTGTTAATTTTATCATTTATTCTTGTTATCTAATAAAATATGATTTTGAAAATTCGTTGTTTGAACCGAGACTCGGCGGCTCAACCCGTGTCGAGTCGAGACAATTTGGATGTTTTTTGACTCGTTTCGGTCTCTGATAGTTAAAGAAGAGACTAATCATGTTGAAAGTCGTTAAGAAATAAACTTATTTCGAATGATTCAAATAGTTATGCATCGTTCAAAGCCACACTAACATGTGATCCACCAGTAACCAACACTTTTCTATTATTTAATACAGTTGCTGTGTGTTCGTCTCATACATTATTCATTTTATCAATAGTTGTCCAAGTTTCTGTTGATGGATCATACAATTCAGCACTATTTTGATCATTATGATCAAATCCACCAGTAACTAACACTTTCCCATCTGTTAATAGCGCTGCTATGTGTTTCCATCGAGCATGACTCATGCTGCTAGTAATTGGCAACATTCCTGTTGATGGATCGTACAACTCAGCCCTATTTAAACTATCACTATACTTCGTCCCACCGATGACTAACAGTTTTCCATTTGATAATACGAATGATGTATGTTGGGTTCGCGCATCATTCATGCTACTGGTAGTTGTCCAAATATCTGTTGAGGATCATATAACTCACTACTATTCGGAAAATCATACTTAGAAAGTCCACCAGCAACGAATATTTTCAAGGGGGAAGTAACTGATTTCGTCATTTCAAATTAGTAGTTTGATTTCAGATGATTTCGGGTGATTTCGAGTGATTTCAAACGATTTCAAGTGATTTCAAAGGATTTCGATTGATTTCGAGCGAAATCGAAGTTAATTGAAACTAGTTCCAAGACAGGTTAAAACTATTCGAAATCGCTCGAAATGAACTAAAAATCATGCGAAATCATATGGCATTACTTAGCGGTGTACCAGACTGGCAATCACCTGTAGGTAGACTCACGGAGACCGAGGCTGAAAGTTTTGACCTCCGTGCATCCCCGAAATCATCTGAAATCATTTAAAATTGCTTGAAATCACCAGAAACCTACGAAATCATTTGAAATCAATTTTTTTCTTCTTTAGTGACTTGGTCAAATTGCAGGTGATTTTCAAATGATTTCAAGTGATTTCAGATGATTTCAACTGATTTCAAGTGATTTCAGATGATTTCAACTGATTTCAAGTTGATTTCCGCATTTGAAATCAGTTTCTTTCCCCTTGAATATTTTTCCATTCGCGAGTATGGATATGTGTACCCGTCGTGCATGATTCATATGATCAGTTTTAGACTATTCTAGACGAAAAATTTTGATTTTTTTCGTTCTGAAAGAACGTTTACTTTGGTATCGGTTAGATAACTTTTCGAAGCAACTCATCTTGACTTCCAAGAAAGTCGTCTTAACGATCAGGGCAAGTTCATTCTATTCCCAAAGATTTATCAAAGGTGTAAGTGCGGGAACGTGGATGGAAGTCTTCTCCTCATTCCCACACCGACATCCGATATTGAGAGCCCGCCATTCCCATATGTATGCGGTTATTAATATTCATGAAAGAAGAAATACAACATTTAAATCCATTCTTTAATGAAAAAAAAAAGAATTGTGAATTATCATAAAACAGTCATCCATTTTGAAAAAATATTTCATCAAGCAAATAAAAACTCCGTTATCTTATCATTTTTGATACTGTAACTGACGCAAAGAATCTGTAGAATCGACTATTAAACTAGGTTTCATCAACTAAACTACACTTTTCAAAAGCATGTTCTTTCTGAAATGATTTGGTATAAACAATGATAAGAAAAATAATATGGTCGAAGGTAATCATCTTGTTTGACAAATTAAAACAGTAAATAAAACTACCCACGGAAAAATTTTTCAAGAAAAAACCGCGGTTTCATAAACCGCGAAAGTCAGACCTTTTATGCGGTTTTTGAAACCGGCGAAAACCGCGGTTTGCAAATACCGCGGTGAGAACCGAGAAAATCGCGGTCCGAGCTGAGTTTTTGCAGGTCTAACCGCGGTTTTCTCGGTTCTCATCGCGGTATTTGCAAACCGCAGTTTTCGCCGGTTTCCAAAAACCGCATAAAAGGTCTGACTTTCGCGGTTTTTCAAAATGTGGAACAAAACCGCGGTTAACCTCAGATTACCGCGGTTTTTTTCGGAAGAATTTTTCTGTGGGTAATACAACAATATTTGAAGACCTACCAAATAAATTAATCATACATATATTCGAATATTTATATTGTCATGATACCATTTATGCATTTGATCATCTAAATGGTTGTTTTCAATCATTATTACATTCATATCATTATTATCATTTAAGTTTTGATCATGTAATAACGAAGACGAAATTTAATCTTATTCAAAATTTACCATTAAATCCTCAACATGTTAAATCGTTAACATTGTCCAATAAGCATTTTTTATGTACAAATATTCATGAGTGTCTATTAAAATATCCCATCAAGTTTTATCTTAGACTGGAATCATTATCATTGATTCATTCTGGTGATAATATACTTTTATCTTTCGTTTGGTTATTATCAAATTTTCAACAATTAAAGTACTTATTGATAAATTACGATTGCTTCAAATACGGAAATTCTAGTACAATAGAACAAATTAGATTCAAAATTTTATTTGAAATTAAAACATTAAAATATTTTAAATGGAATAGGAATTATTCATTTTTTACAGAAATTAAAAGCACGTTTACGAATCAAAAATCAAATATTCAACATTACGAATTTCGTACGATGAGTTTTGATGAATTCGAGTGGCTCCTTGTTCATACAATCTATATGAAATCTATTCATATTCATGAGTTTTGTTTCGATACTCATTTTAATCAACAACAAACATCTGAAACATTAACCAAGATAAAAATAGATAGGCTTGAAGGAAAAGAAAAAAGTCGATCTTTATTAGAAAATTTGTCATGTTTCACTCGATTGAAATATTTGGCAT